TGGCTAGATTATACCATTTAGGAAGAGCCTTAAATGGGTGCACAGTTTTTATGTAGTGACTGAGGAAAAGACCGACGAGCTCGATCTCTGGAATGTTATAGAAACTCTTACCCAGATAGGGATCTTACCCACTGGGATCACCAAACATGGGATCACTGCTTTCTCTTCACTCACATGGGTAATAGGCAAATACAGAAGTCTGTGCTCTCCTAAAAGCTGTGACTACAGTTATGACATACAGACATATGAGTCATGAAGCGGCCAGACATCTTCATTTGCTCTCTTACAATCTTTTGTCCATGTATGCTAGCACTACTGCCAATGTTACAATCACCTAGAAGAGAACGTCTATAGAACATCACAAAAACATTTTTTGTCTACAATTTTTTTTTGAAGTTATTTATTGCAAATCTTAATATTTGGGTCAGATCTGCCACGACAGCAATCCTTAAAATTTCTTCAGTCTTTTTTATGTCCTTACATTACCTTGGAGGTCTTTCTCCTAATTTTTCTCCTTTCAATCATCTATAGCTTCAAGTGTCTTATTAAATGAAACACTGCCAGAAAACTTCCCTGGACACGGGAATCTGCTGATTCACAGTATTAAGCTTGCGCAATAGTCATCAATACACTTTTGGATATGCCAAATAACAACACTCTCCCTCCACTCCCAATAGTTCCTGGATATGGTAGGGAAGTTAGCATGGGCAAGAAACAACTCCTGAGACGCAGCGTCTATGCGGTCTGTTTTGGAGAGTACAGCGTGCAGAGAGGTTGTTCCAGGCAAGCTGGCCTCAGTGCCAGTTACCTGTTCAAGTCACTAGCCTTTGGAGGTACACACCACAATTAAGCCTATTCAATAGGATCTTCCCAATGCCCTGTGCACCACAGGTGCATCTTGTGCTTTTCCTGCCCAAGAATGTGCAAAACGTGTGTATGTATTTTTTTAACCTTTCAACATACCTTCTTCAGTAAATCTGCTTTTCCACTGATTTGAAGTTCAAAATTTTACGTTCTTCCTGTATTCCTTAGCTCGCCAACAGGAAACACTTCTGTTCTCCTTCAGTTCATTAAATAAGCATAATACATAGCCATAAATCCATATTTCATTTTGACACATCAGAATGAAAAACATGCATTGCCACTAAGGATTTACTATTATTTATATTTCATATTGGTTATTTTCCTAAAAGAAGTAAGTTTCAAATGAAACAAAAACCATAGGAATACAAATTCACTATCAATAGCAGCAGGATTAAGGTCAGATGTGATGTCTTAAAAATGAAAGTTAAATCCTTTTAGTACCTTAAGGTACTGCTATCACTGAGTCTGTAAAAATAGGGTCCTTTTATCAAACTGTAAAACAAACTTTGACCTCTGAGCTACGGATCACACACAACTTTTATGCAATTAAAGGTCCGTTAACACCCAAGTGGAGAGGCTTAAATGGATCTTAGTGATTTAATACACTTTTCACCAAACTGGAAAAGAATATGTACTTAAATTGCCTATTTGCTTTGGAAGTCTTGACATGTGGTTACTTAAAAGGGTTGCTTTAATAAATATGTATAAAGAACTACACAGAAATGCTTTAATAAAGGTGCTTTTTAAGAAGATTACTTACTGGGTTTTCTTCAGTAAGCTCATAGCCGTACTGTTTGAATACCCGATATTCATTACTAAATTTATCCCTACAACTACTTTTGTGAGACAAGCTTCTCATACTTCATACACAAGAAATTGAAACAGAAATCATAAATGATTTGCACAAAGCCCGACAGTTGCATCAGAACCCAAGGCACTTGATTCTAGAGTTTTAAGTCCTCTTCACAAATACAAATCTTAACCACAAGCCAGCCCTTCTCTTTGAAGCAATGCACACGTCATTTACAGAGCCATTATCATCCCCACTTCATCAAAAGATAAAGAGCACCAACAAATATTTTCTTTGTTTAAAACAGTGAGGTGAGATATTTACATTAAATTTCTTCCTTACATGTGAAGAATGGAAACATCTTTGATGAAGCAATTGATAAAATTATTTCAAACTCTTCTAAACACCTTCCAGGCCATCTTAAATGACTAATAGTTGAAACAGACTTTAGCAAAATATATCTCCTCTCCTTTCTACGCAGCCTGTCATAAACGCGGTTGCCCACTCATTCAGAACATGGCTAAAGGAGCTCTTAGGCTACAAATCCTTAAGATGCAGTGAGCTGATTGTATTACTCACACTTGCTGCCGGAAACAGAGAAGAGTTCCTGCTTCTGACTGCATGCCTCTGGTGCTTACTTTCTGCTGGCTCTGGTATTTCTTTGATCCTTCTGTAAGCTGATTTAACTCTCTAAAACGCAACAGAAATCCAGCAGAAAGATGGACAAATTTCTCTTGTTAAGTCAATGAATGGCAAAGCCTGAGAAGTACCAGAACTCGTACGCAGAAGGCAGCAGGATTACCCAGTCCAAGCTGAGGGAGCAAGTCTTTCTCCTTTTGGCAATGAGGAAATCAGCTCGTCTATAGTCCTAGCAGATTCTGTACATCTTTAATTTCTGTTCTGAGGTATCAGCTGCTTCAACTTGCCGTCTGCTTATGTTCTCTCAAGTAGCCTCACTAAAAGGCAGCTATGTTTTTTGGGGAAAACGGAGGTATCAGACTTAACACAGAAGAAAGACTACTAAAAATCTGTAAATAAGGACAAGGAATTAAAATTGAACTATAGCAAACATTTACTTTCTGCAGAAAGACAACCTTGCATTATACTAGTAACTGCAACAGGAAAGCTATAAAATAAGCTTTGCCTAGTGGCGTTTATGATAGCCCAAGACCATGTTACAACTTTAAGTCACCAAGGCACTCTGACTAGAACCTATTTTCTCACTTGACACACAGAGATTCCAGCTCTAAATTAAAAAAAAAAAAAGTCGGTACCATTGTAACTAGCATTAGTTCAGCAGCAGACCAATACACTTCTACAAATCACTTTATCACAAAGGTGTCTGAAAAGAGGAGGAATAACGTACATGATTGAGGGAATAACATTAGGTAACAAGATTTTTGGGCTTGGATTGTTCAGATAACAGGTTTCTGGGGGTGGGGCAGAGTTTTCTGTTGAGGAAGGCAGGGGAGTGGTACACTGCATCTGACCCTGATGCATGAAGAAATTGCCTGGACCTTGACATATCAGTTCTGAGAAAAATAGAAGTGTTGAATATTCTATATGCTCCTTCCAAAGTTGTATTAGGATCCTTACAATTCCTGTCAATTTTTTTACTCTGAACTATTAACACAGGCTTTCATCTTTTCATGGTCTGAATTCTCCATTCTCCCTTAAAGTCAGATCAAGACCCTGAACAGACACAATGAAAGGAGGCAGAAATATTGCTGTTCTTACCTTTGTAACAAGAAAAAAAATGCATCAGCATGATTAATTACCGAACAAACTGTGATGAAAACAAGTTAATGCAATTTAATTGTCATTCCAATAACTATTACACAAAAGTAACTCATGGCTTGCGCTTTCCAGGACAGCACAGTAACAAAGCTAATTGCTCCATCTTCAAAGAACTGCTCCCTGTTCTTCCTACGAATTTTTCAGTAAGATGCTGCTGAAAGAAGAGTTGTTGGGGTTTTTTGGGTTTTGGGGTTTTTTTTGTTTTGTTTGGGGTTTTTTTTGGGTTTGGGTGGGTTGGTTTTTTGGGGGTTTTTTTGTTTGTTTTTTTGGGTTTTTTTGGGTTTTTTTGGTTTTTTTTGTTTTTTTACACAAAGGCAACATGACACTAATTTCAGTAAATCCTTCCAACAAGAATATCCATATATCCTCTCATCTCTATTGGATATATTTTACTTAATATACAAAACAAAAAGACCATTCAAGCAAAACAAAAACAAGACCAAAAATGTGCAGCTTACTTTATAAAGACTGAAGTCTTTCATTGTCCAAAAAACATTGGTTTATTTCTTCTCCAACATCTTAAAAGTTGACTTAATCCTATGAACAAGTACCTACTCTTTTGCAGCTTTTCTGTTTCACAGCATACTTCTAAGTATGTTTTCTAAGACAATTTATAGCCCTCCTAACTGTTTGGCAGAACAAATAAATGCATTAGAATTGATTTTGCTTCAGGTGTACTTTAGGTGAATGTTAAATACCATTTTTGGAATCAGATACACATTACCCATACTGCATGGATACTGTTACCTAAGAAGTCAGCAATTGTAAAAATGGAAAAGAACAGCATTTATGCTTAAAAAAAAAAAAATTCCAGACAGTTGCTAATAGGGTTTGGCAGATATTGCTGTCATTTTAATTTGCAAATGTTCATCTAGTGGAAAACAATCAATTTTTTCAAGTTTTCTCTGAAGTTACTGGGTAAGTTGGAAAGATATTGCAGTACAGACATACAGGCATGCTCAAAGAACAAAGTTTTGCCAGTGACTTAGCATACCTAGAGATAGCCTTATACTTTGGAACATAACTCAAAAGATGAGCGGGATTTACCTTCCTATGATAATTTTAGGTTTTTTTCTTTCATTTTAAAAATTTTGTTCTGTATTTGGCCTCCAATCATACCACTGATAAGATGAATGCATAGCACACAGAAAACAGTAAGAACCAAAAGTGTTGCAGAATCGATACATGAGATTTAGAAAGATAAATGTTCATCGTGTTATATAGATACCTTGGATTCATAATTAACTTGACAGAACTTAAAAGACTTTCTGATGCAGGATGCTTTGCTTCCCCCCCCAAGAGTTTTTAGCAGAAAGTAGGTCAGAATAAAACTGGGCAATAAAAAGTGGAAAGTCCTTGAACTAAAGTGTACAGGCAGCAATGTAAAATAAGATTATTTTATATGTAACACATATGACAAGCTGATACAGCAAATTACTTACTCGGTAAACCCACGACTCAGTTTTGAAAGGAGGATTTGTTCATTTCAGAACTCAACAGCAAGTATAAAACATTAAAGCCATCTTAAACTGAACTCCACTTCTATTATCTTTGAATTTTTTTTAAACATTGTCTTATGATTAAGACATTCATTACTGTTTAGCATATCATATATAGCATATCATATAATTTATAATATTTCTTTGCAGAACAATATAGTTAATTCAGTATCATCAATAACTTTATACAGATACAGTATTGAAGCCATGTCCTCTGTCCGCTTACTGTCAAGTACAAAACAGCTTATATAGACTAAAAAAAGCTACACACCACAGTTGTAGCATACTGTATTTTGTGCCTGATTAAAGTTTACAGTAGTGGCTTTTTGATCTTTCAAGACAAATAAACATGATACCACATAAACAGTTGTGCAAACTCAGGCTTAGGAGGAAGACTTAACTACCTCCTTTTTCCAGAACTACTTTTCCCTGCTTTACTGCTGCTGCTACCAGATTTGCTGGAAGATTTTGAAGAGAATAGTCTTGTCATGAATTCAGAGACATCTGGCAGCTCATGGTTGGAATTCAGCATGTTCATTGACTGCTCCATTTCCTGCATGCAAAGATTAGATAACCTTAATAGCTTGTAACAATTCTGGCTGTTTCTAAGGCATCAGCTGAAAATCGTATCAGGAAGATGTCAAATTTTCCCAAATACTGTTTTACTATTTGCAGTCCTCCAGAGTACATATTGCTACATATTTTTATGCAACCACAGCCAATTGCCCAGCTACACACAGAAACATAAAACCCCAAAACTAAAAGCACTGGTATATGGAAAAAGGCAACCATGTCTTAAGCAGTCTTACAGGGCAACCACCTGATGAAAAAAAAAAAATTTCTAGAAGAAAAAAATGCCATTACTTATTTTCAGCATTACTTTCCTCCATTTTAAAATTTAAGCTTTTGTTTAGATTTTCAGATCTGTGTTCTCATAGATTTCACGTACTTTTGTGTTTTCAAATTAGTATTATTTATGCTAAATCTAACAAATTTTTGAAGCTGTTTGAAGGGATTAGATATTTTTATTGCCCTACTTTGTAACATCAAGCTGTCAGTGTACAGCAGTTGAGTTTTCTTTGTTTCATGAAAGGATTTTAATATGAGACCATATATCCAGCTAAGCTTAATCTAACTTTAGAGTTTAGCATAGTGGCTCTATGAGACGAATTAGTACAGTTTAAAACAAACAAACCCTGAAGTACTTTTAATGCATACAACAGCTGAACTGCACATCCACAATAAGATAATGCTTACAGTAATTGCCAGTTTAATGTGGGATTGCCACCTTGCTCTTCTTGTTACCATTCAGAATGATACAGCTTTAACTGTTTTCAAGGTACAAACGAAGAAAAAGCTGTTATGGTAGCCTTTGTTACTATTGCATCTATACTACATCTGTACTTAATGCCTCTACAACAAGCACAGTTACTAAATCATTAACTTTCTATATAAACTAGTACTGTGCTGACTCCATAAAGAAAAAACAAGCTAACTTGAAAAATGTAATACAAGCTCCATACCCTCCACAAGCAAACTGAAGATGGATATACACTTAAGAATTTATTACATGGTCATCTAGAGAATGCCATTACAATTGAGTTCTTAAAAACTACCTTCTCCTATTCTTTAAAGATAATTTAAATTACAAGCAAGATTCCTTCAGCTTAAAATTTCTTCTTAACAAGTCGTATCATTCAGAAAAAAAAAAAAAAACCACCACCCCAGCCTGTCTGTAAGCAGTGTCAGATCAGTGAAAAAAGTAAGGAATAAGTGATTTTTTTAAAATTCAACTTCCAAAGTTCAGCTTGGTTTGAAGAACATGCCACGGATATCTAGCATATCTTTGTATCCTGTTTTTAACCAAAAATTAAAGCCAAAAGAGCATTACATAGCTCCGATATGCTTTTTATAGGTATTACTTTAAAAAAAAAAAAAAAAAGAGGCTCAGACACCTATAAAGTACTACTGAAGACAGTGGTCATTTAGAGGAAAAGGAGTTCGAATTAACCAAACCCTCAAAAAGCAGCCACCCAAGACAGATGAGGAATACTTCTAAAAATAAGAAAAGATTTAGCAAACACCTTGAATCTCCATTTTGTCCTAGCCTTCTGCTATTCGGCATTTTGCATGATGAAAGGACAATAAATCAGCTAATTTAATGACTACATTAGGACTCCATATCATATGCACTATTTTGTTTTCTGGATTTAACAGTCTTGTAAACTGTATGGTTTAGGTTGATGGGTAAGAGAAGCCCACATCATACTCTTCTCAACACACCTGACACTTACTAAATGATGTCTAAAAATGAAATGCTAGATTTAAACATAGTGCAGAAATACATTGGAAATTTATAGAAAAAATAGCCTTTGAAAAATTGTATTTATTGCTCTAAAGAAACTCTGGAAAACACCATTCATACTGTAACACTTTCAAAGCAGTGCCAAACAATTTAATTCTGTGTTGTGCTGTTTAACAGCAAATTCATGAGTCGGAAATGTTAGAATTCATTGTTAGAACAGCAACACTGTATTAACTGAATAAGTGATGCCCATTAAGACTTCTTTAAAAGTCCGGCTTTGTTTTTATTACTTTTCTGTACCTTAAAATCTCATTATCTTTGTTCTCTATGTCTGCATCAATTGAATGCACTTACCCGTCTCATATCAGGATCACTGGTGTTGACAACTTTAGGCAAAAGTACAAATATCAGTAATGGAAGAACCATCATCATCACCTACACAGAAAACAGCAAATATTTCTTCAGCTTATTTGTTGCTCCAGACATTTTTAGACACAGCCAAATTCTACAACTACTGCATTCTGAGTCAGTAACCCAGTTACAGTAATCCACTTGTCAGGAAAGAAACGTGGTAAGGAAGTATTATGTTTTAAGTAACAGATTTCAAAGTTGGACCATTAAAGTAAATGTTTGTTATCTCTTTCAAATGTTATAATTACAATCTTGCAACATGTTGCTCTCCCACACTACTAGAACAACATCATGTTGTCAAAGGAACCAGACTATGGGCTATTTTCAGAGGACATTAACAGACTGGGTATATAGGGGAGGAGAGGTCATAGAAAAACTTTCTATTTGTAAACAAGTAAAAAACAAAGCATTAAAACAAACCTCTCAGAAAAGCAAAGTGTGCATACCTTTTCTCAATTATTTTATTCTCGGTATTCTGAAGAATAGCTATATTTGGATCCTTAGCATACTTTTAACCTTTGTGTGTTGCTTATACGTACCATAGGGTTCATGAGGAAATCTGTCCATCCCCAAGATTCTCTCTTTATAAAGTATGAAGAAGGCCCAGAAGATTTCATCTGGAGTGGGTATGGCAGCCTGACAACTTCAGAGGTTTTGATGTAATTCACATATCTTGCTCTAATGAGCAAAATGTAAATAATTAAAAATACACATACAATCTTTAAGGAAAAATAAAGATTATTTAATAATATTCCAAATGAAGTTTTAATAATAGAATACAAACAAAACTATCTGCTAGGCAGTGTCAGCTAGACTTCATTTTTCAGAAGCTAATTTCTCTCAGCAGCACACTTTATGGAATCAAATGATACTTTACCTTTTTTTCCAGGCTAGCTATTAAGCAGGCTGAAAAACTTGATACGGAAAACAGACCTGCAGATCAGAAACATCAGAACTATTTGTTCAAATGTGACCTCTGCAAAACATTTTTTCTCACCTTGGTAACAAGCACGAAAAGCTACAATGCTTAAAGAGAAGGTACAGCCTTGAACAGTGCAGTGTAGCTTAAACAGTTTGCTTGGGGCAACAATTATTTATATATGAAGTTAATACTACCTTTTCCCTAAGTGCATTACTTCGCATTTATCAATACTGAATCTCAGTCTTTATTACTTTATAAGGTCTTTCCATAGTTCTTCACTAGTATTCTTCACTTGGGCCTAGTATTCAGATAGTTACTTGGTACTATCATCTAACTTTGTCACTCTTCACCCATTTTTCATGATTTATGAATATTTACACAGCTTGTGCAACTCCAGGGATGACTTCTGCCCATTACAAGAGAAATCATTTATTCCTTCTGAATTTTTCACCAACTATTCATCCATAGAATGTCTTTCCCTCCTACCTTACGACTACATATTTTCTTTAAAAGCTTTTGAGATTTTCAAGTAGATCTTATCAAACGTATCTGTTATCCACATGCTGTTTCCTCTTTCTAAGAATTTCGGTATTTTTTTTAAGGCAGAACATCCCTTAGAAAAGCCCAGTTGACATTTTCCCCACGTATCACATCTTTCCATGCATCTCCCAACTGCATTCCTTATTATAGTTTCTACCTGTTTGACTGGTAGAGATGTCAAGTCTACTGGTACTTCGTTCTGCAGACATATCCTAGCAATTTACTTAACGTCAAATTTGTCCTCTAGTCCTCAGATACCAAAAACAGTGCTGAGACGTTATACACACTATTGTGTCTATTTCACCGAGTTCCTTCCATATTTATTACATATTAATTGTTGCCAATGAGATACTGCCTAACAAAGTATAAAAATAAAAATCTCATGAAGTTTGTGAAAAAAATCTAAGCACAAACAAATTGTGCTATTATTATTACAAACATACTGTTTGCACTGTTTTCAGTTTGAGATTTCAATTTTTAACCTCCCCTAAAAACACTGCTACAGTGTTTATATTGATGTTTGTACTCCTAAAAATATAATGGCATCTTTTATAAGATACTGTAAAAGACAAACTTGAAGTTAAGATACTACATGTGTGCCTGTACAAAGAAAAATGAACTACAAACATGTTCATTTAAACAAAAAGCACCTTATTAGATACGATAGTTATTTTTCTGTATTACTTACCGAATAGTGTGCAGTTACAGATGTACAGTTATAGTTGTTAGGGACAACATATGTTAAGCCATAACATTAAAAAAAAAGCTAACGATGCTACAGAATTACTGCAGGCTAGCAACTACTAGCATTTGCCAGTAACTGTAAGGAGTATCTTATGGAGGTGTAACAGAAATATTTTAGAATTCAGAATTAGAATGAATTAGAATTTCATTGTGCCAAGTCTTGACAGAACATTTACCAAAAAAGAAAGGAAAAAGGGAAGAAGGAAAAAAAAAAGGTATAGGCAAAAGATAAAGCAGTTAACTAATTTATGTCTAGATTTTATTTCAGGATAGCTGCATAAGAAAATAACAAAAGTAAACAAATAGGATTTTTTTTATCCATTTACTCTTATTTAAGGCCATAAATATGAAAGGAAGAAAGAAATCAGACTTTGAATTCTAAGAAATGTGCTCCTAGAAGTTATGATAAAAGAAGCTGAAACATACGGTCTGAAATGGAACATCAGATCTACACTACTGTTTACTTCTTATACTGTGCTGTCAGGCATAACTGATAGATCAATAGAGAAGCAAAACAGGAAAGGCTCACCTCATTTTGCCTTTTGAAGTTATGTCAACTCTCACGGGCTCAAATTTATGAGCAGGGGATATAACTTCCACTACGTAAGATCCTGAAGGTACATCATGAACCACAAAACTTCCATCTGTCCTGAAAAAACAGTAAGTTCCGCTACATTTCAATATGCTCCAGTACACAAGACAGGGTGCTTTATTTTTTTTAAAAAGAAGAAACTGTAATAGTGCCTTTTTATATTATAAATCTTAATATAACAACAATGACCAAAAGGAAAATCTAAATTGCTCAGCACTCGTAACATCAAGGTCATCAATGTGTACCACAAGAGTAGCAGAAATTACCAGTTACGTTAAAGGTTTTCTCATGACCTCAAGCTATTGTCTTGCTGGAGGAATAAGTAAAATTTGAAATGGTTAGATTTCATGTATTCAAATGATGGCAGAATTGACTTACACCTTCCTTCCTCCTTCTGAGATACAATACAATGAAGTTTACTTTGCTTCAGTACTTCTGCTGGAAGCAAAAAAACCCAAAAATTGACATTCTACATAGTGTGGGTAGATATTGGAGATGACTTGCAAAGCACAAAAACTGGGGTTTGTGCCTTTATTGCAAAACAGAGGTTTTTACTTTTAATTGCTCCCTTTAGGACTAGGCCACACTGGAAAGCTCTATCACAACAATAAGGGAACTAAGAGCTCTGAACAAATACACAGAAGGGATTTTTAGGCAGACTGCTTTTATTTTAAAATATGAAACAATATTTGGTGAAAATATTAGTAAGAGGATACTTGAAAGCTTCAGCACCAGTTGCCATTAAAGTACAGAAGCTTGCATTTCTCCTCCTACATGCTTCCAGAAGTTTCCAGGAAAAAAAATTTAGTGATCTCTACCCTTTTAAAATTAATATAAAAGATCTCCCTCCTAAAAATAAGACTCAAAGTTAAGACAAAAAAAGTTGCTCAAAGGGGGGAAAAAAGTAATAAAACCTGATACATTAGAAACTTGCATCAGGAAAACAAATAAACGAACCCTCAAAAAGAATTTTGTCCTTACATCCTTCACACAAGTTCTCTCTCTCAAAGACGTACATCACTTAAGGACCTTCCCACCACGAAGACAGAAGCATATAACAGCACTGTGTAGGTGGGTTTCACTAATACTTTGTGGGATGATTTGAACCCCTAAGAATGCTTACGCTATCTTATATTGCAACTGCTGTAAGGATGTTTCCCTAAAAACTTCCTTTTATTTTTTCATTCTTTACAGTATTATTTTGATAAAATTCAATTATATTTTTTTTCCTAAAGATTTATTTATATGAAAAAGAAAATTCTGACTTCATATACTGGTATCCCATACTGCCTTTTTAGAAGAAAACAAGTTTCATTTTTATAACAGTGGGGAAACTAATCAGATTTATAAAAATGCTTGTACCAGAGAATGATTCTTGGAATACTCAAAAAGCAGCTTTGCTATGTCAAATAATTATTTTCCTCTTTTTGATAACTGGAATGACATCCATGTAATATTTAATCAAAACCTGCCTGAGAGATGGTGCGAAATACATCTTCTGATATACCAAATACATTTATATCCGTCACTGAAAGTGAAGGATCTCTCTACTGAGCCTGAAATACCACTGTTATTTAAGAAATTTGTTCTTTCTTCTAACACAGTTCTTACTAAAAGTATACTGCCATCCAGTACTGTGCTCATTACAAGTGACAAAAAAAGATCCCAACCGACATTAAAGCATCTTTGCTAAAATGTACCATGTTATGGTAGCGCAACATCTACAAATATATTTATTGAACTATGTAACTTATATAATATTAATTGCTTGGCTTTAAGTTATATCAGTGTAATTTGATACGTCTACAAATAGACATGACAAATTAATGTAATCAATAGAGCTTGATATCTAGGTTACACTGTCATAAATATGGTATGCTCTTAGCTAAGACTATTTCCTCGTATTTCAGACAACTCGAGTTCCAAGCAAGCATTTAGAAACTTACCAACTCCATGGTATTTATTAAATCAGCTCCTAAATATGATGTCAGGCTCCCACAACTTGGTTGTACTGGCTTATCAGGTGCTACACTGACAAGATTCTGCAAGTTTTGCAGAGTAAAATCTGTTGTGTTAACCTATTGACAGTTCCCAGAGTCAAAGTTCAGTTCAACTTTTACTGCAGAGGGAATAATTAAAAATGATTGGTATTTATGAGAGGATGTATTTTAATTCCATATAAACTTTCTCATTTTAATACATAATTTTAAAAGCAATGTATTATACTGTATTAAAAATAATAAAAAGGATTTTAGAATTAGCTTCTACTCTTGAAACCATGAGATCAGTTCAATTCTTAATTCTGAGGGCACTTTCTATGCCTTAGTATCTCTAAACCCTTTGCTGGTCTGAATATACCCACTACCACCCGAGACTGAATAAGCTAATGTGATTCTTTACAGCTTCCAAATGCATTTGCATGATCTTGTGTGAAGGAATAAAGCCATATCCCTTGAAATGGATTTCACTGGTACAGTGAAACTGTTTTTCATAGGTAGTGTAATAGATAACTACAACTGTAACTTTCTGCCACAAACAAACATTTCTCCAGAATGAGTAAATTCTTAGCTAAGGAGAGGGCCTTAAAAAAAGAAGTGACAGGATTTGCACCCGCAGAAGCTGAGAACAAACACTGTAGTCCAGAATTTAATGCAAACGTGTTTGGTTTTTTTTTAATTAAAACTCAGTTCCAATTTTTTGATCGCTCAAGAGCCAGCAGCTTTAGTCATCAATTTGGTTACGTCTGCAGGAGGCCGAGAACAACAATCCCTACAGCACTGCAGGTTCCCACGACAGGCCTGGCCATTTCTAATGCCTTACAAGGTAAGGCGCAAGTGTACCAGTAAAGCCAAAGTCGGACGCGAGACGTTCACCTCCACAGCTGTGCGCTGCTAACTGGGACAAGGCCGCTAACTTGCAGGGCGCTGCTCCGCTCTGCCACAGCCGCCCGCCATCTTACGGCCGCGACTGTAGAAGGGACGCTAAGCCCGTCGGAGGCGCCGAGGTGGAGGGTATCTCCGAGCGGCTCCCGCGGCACAGGGCGACACCGGCCCAAGCCCGGCGAGGGACGCTTGCTTCCCCGCCGGGACCAAGCCCCCCGCCCCGCCCGCCC